TGAGGATCGAACCTGGGCCGCACGCATGCCAAGCGAGCGCGCTGCCGCTTGAGCCACACCCCCAGCCCAGCACCTTGCTTTTGCTGAAGCTGGCTTTGAATAGCAATCCTCATGCCTCAGSCTCTGGAGCTACTGGGATTACAGGTGTGCGCCACAGCACCTGGCAAGGAATACATTTTTTACGGCAAGTTAAGTAGTTCAGAAAAATGAAAATGAAAGAAGTCCCTCAAATCTCCCATTCCAGTAGTAAACATGGTTGATAATGTCATGTGCATCTTTCCAGAACATTTTCCACACACACAGTGCATTTATTTGAGTCTTCTGAAATGTGCTTCAAAATGTCAAACTTCAAGTGCTATTAATTTTTTTTTGGTAGTTTGGGTACATACTCATAATCAATAAGATCACAAGTTGATAGGTTTTTGAAGTTCTGCTGTTTTCTGGGTGAAGTTGGAAGCAAGAGTAGTGTGAACTGAGTAGGGAAAGATATACCGAAGGGTATGGGAACTATGAAGAAAGAAGACAACTAAAAAGTTACTTAAAACCCAAGTGAATGTGCACAAGGGGTGCAAAAAGGGAAAGGTGGGGGTCAAAAAATCACATGTCTGGCACTGTAGTGTTACCAGTGTAATTCCATTTGCTTTTCCTGGTGAGATAGATTTTATGTGCTWAAGTAATTTCAGTTCCTTTCTTTTTCAGGATCCAGCAAGTAGGCAAGGAGGCCTATGTCTTAGGGCTCTCGTCCTTCCACATACCTTCAATAGGAGCTGCCTGTGTGTGTTTCTTGGAATTGCTTGGCCTTGACAGCCTCAAGCTCAGAGTTGATATGAAAGTAGCCAATATAATTTTAAGCTACAAGTATAGAAATGAAGATGCTCAGTACTGCTTTATCAGAGAGTCTTTAGGTATAGCTCTTTTTCTTTATGGGGCTGATTTTATTTATTTGTTGGCTTGTTTATTTATTGGTACCAGGGATTCAACCCACAGACATTTTTAGCACTGAGCCACATCCTCAGCTGTTTTTCTATTTTTTTTTTTTTTTGAGTCAGGGTGTGTGTATATATATCATCCTTTCACATACCTTCAATAGGAGCTGCCTGTATTTCATATATATATATATATATATATATATATATATATAGAGAGAGAGAGAGAGAGAGAGAGAGAGAGAGAGAGAGAGATAATGCAGATATATATATCTACACATACACATATAAATAAAATATATAAATAAATGTTATTTTATATAAATATATGGGTGKGTGTGTGTGTATGTGTGTATGTGTGTGGGTGTGTTTTGCCCAGGCTGGCTTGAAACTTCTGGGCCCAAATGATCCTCCTGCTTCAGCCTCCTGAGCAATTGGGATTACAGGCATGTGCCACCATGCCTAGCTCATACTTTTTTTGTGTGTATATTTCTTATAGCTGAAAAACTATCTAAACTGGCAGATGATGAAAAGGCCACCTTAGAAGAATTGCTTGTTCTCTTAGAAGAAGGTACATGGAATAACATTCAGCAGCATGAAATGAAGAGGTTTGTGTTTGCAACCTCTTTTCTAATAAACTGTGCCAACCTTTGTTGACCTAATCATTTAGTACATTTGGTATTTTCACTAAAATCCCCCTATACCTGATTTTTTACTCATTTGGCATATAGCGTACACTAAATAAATGGAGAATGGATTTAACTTGCCAATGGTGATTTCCTCTTTAGAGATGAAGAGGTGCTTCATACCCAATAAATATTGGCATTTCTTTTTTTGTAGCATTAGGGATTGAACCCAGGGATGCACACATGCTAAACATGAGCTACATCTCCAGTTCTAAAAACTTTAGAAAGTACACTGTGATTGCATTTATTTTATTTTTTTACTAATTTTCCAGTTTCAGACTAATGCTAGATTTTAATAAGATTTTTTTTYCCTCTACCATCCCATTCCTAATTCTGATTATAGATTATCCAGTGAATCTAGCAGCCAGTGGGCATTAGTGATACAATTCTGCAGGCTCCATAATATAAGACTGAGCACATCTTACCTTCGAGAATGTGCCCAAGCAAATGATTGGCTGCAGTTTATTATTCACAGCCAACTCCATAACTTCAAACCAGAGGAGGTAAGTCATGATTGTTGGCTATTAACTCAAGAGGAAATTGGAACGCTTCTTAGAAGATGGTATTCTTTTATTGTGTAGATATTGGCTTTTGTTTGATATGAYATTGGTTTTTACTAAGAGTTCAGTGGGTTGGCATCAGAGAATGGACTAGTCATTAATGCTAAAGAGTGTTTACTCCAGATCGAGTATGAAATTTTACTCAAAAGGCAACAGACAGCTTTGTAAAATTGTATGATTACCTCTGATAGWGTTTAGGGTGAGAGAGAATAATTTTGCATACACTTTTATATAAGTTGTTCAGCTTTACCTGAAACTGAAAGTTGGTTTTCCTTTTTTTTATTTTTTAGTTGTAGTTGGACACAATACCTTTATTTTACTTATGTATTTTTATGTGGTGCTGAGTATCGAACCTGGGTCTCGCAAGTGTGAGGCGAGCKCTCAACCACTGAGCCACAACCCCAGCCCCTGAAAGTTGGTTTTCTTGTTTTAATCATCTAATATGCTTTCCAGGTGAAGTCCCTTCTCCAGTACTTCAGCCCAATTCTTCAAGACCACTTAAAGTTGGCTTTTGAGAACTTTCCATCAGTGTCCAGTTCTATAGTGGACAGTGATCAAGTCTGCAACCAGTGCCCCCAGGAACTCCAGAAAAATAAAGAAGAGATGACTAATTTCTTTGAAACTCTGCTCCAGTGCTCAGAGGAGCCAGATTCCTGGCGCTGGCTCTTGGCTGAAGCATTGAAACAGCAGGCTCCTATCCTCAGTGTCCTAGCTTCATGTATTCAGGTGAAGATTATGAGAAGCTTAAATTAAGACCTAGAGAACAATAAAAAAAGTAACATGGGACAAGGAACACTGGTAATCAGAGTTTTGTGATGATGACAGTCTCCAGCATGTTTCCAAGATCACTGAAATTTTTTTGTGCTTCTGCAGCTCGGGCTTTGGGACATTTGTTCACTTCCTTGTACCTTGACATTCAGTGAACTGGCAGYATTGACTTTCTAGCAGACACTTTGGTAGACAGACTACCACTGCTTCTTTAGCACCTTGTGTAGCAGAGAAGGGGGACATGATTCATAGTTATTGGCATATCAGTGAAGAGCATTCTAACTCTTTTTCTGTCTTCTTGGCCTTTTGGTCTTCCTCATTTTGCATGATATTTTATTAATAGTTCTTTAATTGTTCATTAGAGTTTGTTACATTTGTAAATCTTTCAAACTAATTTGGTGACTTTTGCTAAATAGGAAATATCCATCTGTAGCATTTGTACATGTTAGGTAATGCAGGCCCCGTTATTTTATTTTGAAAATTTCTTTCCAATGGCAGGATGCCAGTGCTATTCCTTGTCTCTGTGTTTGGATCATTACTTCTGTGGAGGACAGTGTTGCAGCTGAAGCAGTGGGACACATTCAGGGCTCAATAGAGGACCATACCTGGGACCTTGAGGACCTTTCCTTCATCTGGAGAACATTATTAACAAGGCAGAAGAGCAAAATTCTCATCAGAGCTTTCCAGCTTTTCTTTAAGGTAGTAAGAGTTACTTTATTGTTTTATTATTTTTTSTGTGTGGTATTAGGGATTGAATCCAGGTCCTTGCATATGCTAGGCAAGCACTTTACCACTGAGCTGCACCCCCAGTCCTATCATTTATTTAGCACAGTGCTTTATATACATTTTCTTAGTACTATACATTTCAATACAAAGATAATATGTGAGGATATTATGAAGTGGTAGTGTCCTCATTTTACAGACTAGTAAACTAATGCTCATAGAACCTAAGTAACGTTATCCAAGAATTTATAATACCTTAATATGTGGCATACTCATAGTTCAAACTCTTACTTTCTGATCCCACCCAAACTCCTGTCCTGTGACCCTGCAACTCTTGCTGAAAGTGATGGAGGGATGAGGAGGGAAGCCCATTGTCCAGGAGTGTATGTTGGAGACACTGTGGTATCACTAGTAGAGTGTTTTCTGCCATGTGCATTAGATCAAATATAGAATAAACAGAAAATGGATTTGTTAATTGTGCCCAGCCTTAGTGTCTGTTATCCAAAAGGAAAAGGAAATATAAATTTAACTTTCCTTCTTGAACACACACACAGATTTGCTGGGCATGGTGGCACATACCTGTAATCCCAGGAGTTCAGGGCACTGAGGCAGACAGATTGCAAGTTTGAGGCTAGCCTCAGCAACTAGCAAGGCCCTAAGTAACTTAGACCTCCTCTCAAAATAAAAAAAATAAAAAAGGGTTGGGGGTGTGGCTCATTGATTAAGTGCCCCTGGATTCAATCCCTGGTATGGGAGGGGGACATACATACACACACATAAATTACTTAATTCTACTATGAAGCTATTACTAACATCCTGTTATAACTAACATCCTGTTAGTTGGCATTTTTCACTGAGAAAATATCAAGGTCAGGATTTTATGATTTTAAACTCTTTTCCAAAGGACTCCCCATTACTCCTGATGATGGAGATGTATGAACTATGTTTGTTCTTCAAGAATTATAAGGAAGCCAAAGCTAAACTTTTGGAGTTCCAGAAGAACCTTGAAACTGTAAGTTGGAATTATAGTGCTTTTTCTCACTGATCTGAAACTGGCTGGTTTGTTGGTTGTCTACTGGTAGTTGGGATGGAGTAGCAGGGTGATAGTGGTTATTTGGTGTAATTCAAATTATATCGTTTGCACCAGTCCAGACATGGGGAAGCCAGGACAGGAGTTGTAGTGGGCTCTCTTATATTATCTCATCAGTTGCCATGAAGGGAGGTTTCATGTAATGCACTACTGTGATTGATATCCTGGTGCGCAGCCAAGCTCAATGGGAAAAGGATTAATAGTCTGTGCTCTGCCCACAAAACAAGAGAGTGGTGGCATGTGGGCCACCTTTTGCCAATCCAGGATAGCTCCAGAGTATTGAGTGTTGCTCTTCTGCCTTGTTAATGTTCTCCAGATGAGGGAAAGTGTGCTGTATTCACTGTGACAGAAAATGTTTTCTTTCAATACTTCTGGAAGTCACTGTCTAAATGTTTCTGAAATATATGGTCAATTTCAGGGGTTACCTCTTTAGATGCTTGTTTGGGGCCTGTTTATCATGCCAAGCTTATTAACTCTGTAAAGTTATAAGAAAGGAAGAGGGTAATATGTCTTAGTTCTAGTTGGGGGCTTGCAGTACTTCTGCCTTTTATACCCCCAAAGAGTTCTATGTACATGAGACAAAAGTATTTATCTCTTCCACTCAAAAAATACATCAGGTAGAACCATAGTACAGGCTTTTCTTCTGAGTCATATTGGTCTTAAATTGTAATGAAGATATAAAGGTTATATATTTGAAAATACTGAGTCAGATATTTGACTAAGGTTAGAGCTCTTAAATCAGAGGAACTAGACATGTGAATTTCCTCAAYCTATTACTCTCTGTGGAGGGTCCTCCTAAGTACCTTCATATTCTCACCTGACTACCTAGCCTCCCCTGGAGAAGGTGTGCATCTGCTCCCATCTTTGCTTCAGCCCTTTCCTTCCATTATTTTTTTCCTTTAACCAATTCTRTCTGCAACAGAGTAAGGTAAACAATTAATTAAGTAAAAGCTAAGGACTACTGCCCTAATCCCAACTGATTTTAATAAGGACACTCACAAGAATAGATGTGGTTTTTCTGAGAATCAAAGTCCCACCAGAAGGGATGTAGAAAACAAGTAGTAACAAAATCTAAGTGGGGATAGTAGCTAATAATAAGCCAACTCTAGTGTTTTATCATCTCATGTCATCCCATTTGAGTCTCTCCAGAAGTAGAATGATCTTCCTTTAAGGTAGAGGGTAAGCCAGGCTCAATGGTGTAGACTGTAGTCCCAACTACTTAGGAGACTGAGGCAGGTTGATCACTTGATGCTCACCTGGGCAAAATCCCCCCTCCCCAAGAAAAAAAGGATATCAGGTAAGCACTATTAAAATTTAAGAGAGGAAGAGTGGGACATGATGGCACATACCTGTAGTCCCAGTGGCTTGGGAGGCTGAAGCAGGAGGATCACAAGTTCAAAGACAGCCTCAGCAACTTAGCAAGACCCAAAGCAACTTAGGGAGAGCCTGTCTCAAAATAAAACATAAAAAAGGATGCGGATGTGGCTCAGTGGTAAGTACCACTGGGTTCAATCCCTGGTACCAACCCCCCCCCCCAATTTTTTTTTTGTTAAGAAAGGAAAAAAACAGTGCTGTGGCACATGCCTGTAATCCCAGAGGCTCAGGTGACTGAGGCAGGAGGATTGAAAGTTCAAGGCCAGCCTCAGCAATGGCGAGGTGCTAAGCAACTCAGACCTTGTCTCTAAATAAAATACAAAAAAGAGTTGAGAGGCTGGGGATGTGGCTCAAGCGGTAGCACGCATGCCTGACATGTGTGCGGCCTGGGTTCGATCCTCAGCAGCACATACAAAGATGTTGTGTCTGCCGAAAACTAAAAAATAAATATTAAAAAAATTTCTCTCAAAAAAAAAAAAAAAGAGCTGAGGGGCTGGGACTGTGGTTCAGTGGTAGAGGGCTCACCTAGCATGTGTGAGGTCCTGGGTTTGATCTTAAGCATCACATGAAAAGATAAATAAAGGTATTGTGTTCATCTACAACTAAAAACAAAAAAATTTTAAAGGGGGTGGGGGCTGGGGATATAGCTCAGTGGTTGAGTGCTCTGTTCAATCCCCGTTACCACCTCCACCCACCTCCCCCACCAAAAAAGAAAGAAAGAAATAGTCAGGTAAGACCACATAGGATGTAGGGAAGTGGGTAGAGAAGAAAATTCTAGGTAGCAATAAGGAGAGAGCAGTAATGTAATATAGGATTTTTTTTTTTTTTTAGTTAGACGCACTACCTTTATTTTATTTATTTATTTTCATGTGCTGCTGAGGATCATACCCAGGGCCTCACATGTGCTAGGTGAGTGCTCTACCGCTGAGCCACAATCCCAGCCCTGATATAGGATTTTAGAAGGCATTCCTTAAGATCTTAGCATTCTTGGACATTTCATTGAAGGGAATAACGTGCTTCTAAAAATCTACGGCACAGCCAAAAAGCATTAGTGCATGTTTTAGAGTGACTTTTACAATGTGGTCAGAGGTATGCAGACGTCTCCAACCAAGATTAGGGCCTAATCCAGACCTAATGAATTATAAGTTTTTGGTGCTTATCTATCTATCTGTCTGTCTATCTATCTATCTATTGAAAGCAGGGAGTTAAGACTTTATTACACAAAAATACCAGTATTTTTTTTTATTATGTTGTGTAAGTCTAGAGTGAATTATGAAGCTAGACTAAGGACCAAATATTAGTCTTTCATATTTTTTTTTCAAATAATACAAACCTACGGGCCAAATGAAAATCAGGAATGAAGTGACAAAAGAAGCATTATATGGGAAAACACCACTCCCCTTAGTCTCAGGTGCAGTTTCTTAGGTATCTTTGTCACACCTTCTTGTAGAAATACAGCCTGCTACTTAGACTCATTAATATTTTTAGCATATGACCGAAATGATATAAACCCAGGCAAATCCTTTAATGAAAATGTCATCTGGGGCTAGGGTTGTGGCTCAGCGGTAGAACGCTTGCCTAGCATGTGTGAGGCACTGGGTTCGATTCTCAGCACCACATAAAAAAATAAAGATATTGTGTACCAGCCAAGTATGTAGTAGAACCAGCTCAGCAATGGTTAGCAAGTCTAAGAAGTCTTCATAATATGAATTCAAAATCTTTTGAACTTGAGGGCAAGCCTAGATCCCTTTCTAAAGAAGCTGCCAAGGGAAACATGTCTGGTTATAACAACTCACAGGGCTRTTAATTTGATAGTCACTGAGGGGACCTTCTAGGAGTGAACTCCGTAGTTAGTGTTGAATTCTGTAGAACTCTTGACTTTCATACACACAGCTCTATATAGGAACTTCCCATAAAGGGATAAAGTGCAAAGCTGCTAAGGAGGGCTTGTTTTTGCCTGTCTTCTGAGCCCCATTACCATTGCCTGCCATTTGGAAAGAACCTGGTGCAGGCATCTTCTTTTTTGATAGGAAGTCACTTTTTAGGGTATCTTGGCTTACATTTCCAAATTTGGAGGTTTTGATTTGTTATTCCTGTGAGCCAATCTCCCTGAGCCCACCTCTCCTTTTTTCCCCCCACAGCTTYACACAAAGGCCCCTAGGGTCCCCCCTATCATCCCTGCCACATGGCTGAAGGATCAGGTGTGTTTCCTTTTGAAGCTTATGCCACAGCAGTGTCAGACACAATACGAGTTGGGGAAGCTCTTACAGCTGTTGGTTGGAGTACAGCATCTCTTCTCTGATGGTAAGAGTTCTTACCCTGAATTTGCTATTAAGAAATTAGTTTCCTTATTGCTGGGGATTTAGTTCAGTTGGCCCTGGGTTCAATCCCCAGCACTACTGCCAAAAAAAAAAAAAAAAGTTAATTTCCTTAATCTTGAAATTATTTTAGGAGGGCAATCAGGAAATAAAAAGATGTATAACATTATATTTATGGTTCATGTGTGAAGAGGTTACAGGTAACTTCAAGTTTCAGTACAGTGCCATCTAATGTAGTAATATAACCAGTCATCTTATTCTAAGCTGTTTGTCAAATAGCCGCATTTTCCCCTGGTATGCCTTTACACTAAAGTGTCAGTGCCGTTCTCTCTGGCAAGTAACCTTAACATGTCATCATTGCTCAAGGTCACAAGCACTGTTTTAGGAATGCATGATTCATTTTGAAGGTCACACTTGGTGGCGCCCACTAATAGTGCAGCAACTCAGGAGGCTAAGGCAAGAGGATGGCAAGTTTGAGGCCAGCCTGGGTAACTTAGTGAGACCCTATCTCAAAATAAAATATAAAAAGAACTGGGGTTGTAGCTCAGTGGTAGAGCATCCTTAGATTCAACCCTCAGTATGGGGTGGTGGGTGGGGTTATTTTGAACATTTCAGACACATCATGCTTAATTTTATTATAAATTCCTCTAGATGTTGGCACTCTCTAAGCTTGTTGCTGACTGAATTAAACAAATGCTACTTTACTCAATCACTTAATTTCAAATTTTTGTTGAATGATTTTGTTCCTTTATACTATATTCTAATGTTTCACTACTAGGGTTATATTTTCACATTTAAACTCATGGATATTCAACTGGAAAGCTAAGGTCTGCACGGAACACTGGCAGAATGCTAGGCTCAGTGACAAGTGTTGTAGGCTTTTGGTTTGATGACTGAAAGAAGTGTTTCCAAAATGCAGTGCATATAAAAATATTACTTTTCAGTACTGTGCAGACCAGATGAACAGATAGATGTTTTCATTGATCTGTAGTGATTTAATTTTTCCTGAAATGAATTTCCTGTAATTTGCCATGATTTGTAATTTCTTTTAATAATTACAAGGATTGACTACATTGTTATCCATTACTATAATACTTTTATTCATATTCTATTTTTATAGAATATTTGTGTCATGTGTGTGTATGTGTGTGTGTGTATATATATGTGTGTGTGTGTATCGTGTATCTGCTTAAGAGAACAGAAATATGTTCTTTCAAAGCCTGTGTACTACACAATGGCAGCAAAGAAACCCAGGAAGCCCATATTGTACATTGGTTATTGTGCAGGGTTACACAATAACCTGCTTATATCAGACCATTGCCCAGCAACTGGCATTGGAAATGGCCTACATGGCATGTTTCTCATTCCCCTCCCTATATGAGGACATAATTAGGCTCTGCGTAGAGTATTTGTGAGTGGAAGCAAACCGAGCCACGTAAATTATTGTGAGAGAATTGACGGTTGGTTAGTTTTGAATCTTTGGGGATCAAACTCAGGACCTCATACATTCTAGGCAAGTGTTCTACCACTGAGCTACACCTCCGGCCCTTTGGAAAATTCTTAGTTTTACTAGGATAATAATTTCCAGGGACATTAGGAAAACCTTAGCTGAGTCTCCATTATTAAGTAGATAGATGTCAGGAGGAGCAAATGATGTTCCATTCTGAATACAGGGTGCCAAATTCAAACCTGGGTTTTTGACCAGCTGCAATTTCTACTGCCCTGCACATTCTTTGTCTTGATCCCCAGGATGTCTGTCTGCAGTGAATGAAAAAATGACTGAGGGCTGGGGCTGTGGCTTGGTGGTAGAGCGCTTGCCTCACATGTATGCAGGACTGGGTTTGATCCTCAGCACCACATTAAATAAATAAAGTTTGATTTTTTTTTTTTGATGGCTGATTTGATGAAATTTGACAAATTTGATGAAGGTTAAGAGAAAAATTCAAAGATGGGACTAGCCTGAGCAAATGGCTAAAATCTTCTCAAGGCTATTGCATTGCTACTGTATCTAAGATTCCCAACCTCTGCCCAGTATATAAAGCCACATGCATAGATTGAATTCATATGCCAATTTGTAACATTCTTACTACAGGGCAAGCAATTTAAACCAAACTTTTCTGTTTAGAATTTTGCAGGCGAAGTCTTTTTTTTTGGGGGGGGCATTTAGGAACTACCCCATGGCTTCTGCTAATCAATCAGAGTAAAAAATAAATTTTTATTTTTCCTTTAAACATATATTTTTTGATTTTTCATAACTTTTTAAATGCTATAGCAGCATTTTGTTAAGTATTTGTATCTTTTTCTCTTTGGCACAGGTCCAGATATGAAGAAGCTGTGTGTCCTTAGCCAAATTTTGAAGGATACATCCATAGCCATTAATCATGCAATTATTACCAGCTACAGCACTGAGAATTTTCAGCATGAATGTAGATCTATTTTGGAAAGACTGCAGATGGATGGACAGTTTGCTTTGGCCAGGAAGGTAGCAGAATTAGCTGAGTTACCTGTGGACAACTTGGTTATTAAAGAGGTATCATTAGTCCTTTAACTTATTCAGATATTAGCTTTTTAAACCAGTGTTGAACAGAGAACCAAAAGAGATGGCAGTTTATAGGTAATGGGGCCTTCTACCTTTTTAACACAAACATTACTTTTCAGAAGTGGATTAGCTAGGATRTCCATTTCTGAAGAAAGTATGCTTTAAAATGTGAGGCCTGATTGATGTACTGCAACTATTTTTCTTTGAATAGAATAAAATATAAGATAGCTTCCTTTTTAAGTTCATTTGGGTTATATGGATTGAGAATTGTTTTTTATACCTTAACTTTCCAGAAAATCTCTAGGGTTATCTATAGTAAAATTCCATTTTCTCTGATTTGAGTTTAGCAAGTATGGTATACTTAGGGAGCATTAATGTTTATGATGCTTCTTTATTCAGGAAAGGCTAAATCTTACTTTTTAAATTTTACAGGTCACACAAGAAATGCAGACACTAAAACACATTGAACAGTGGTCCCTGAAACAAGCAAGAATTGATTTTTGGAAAAAATGTCATGAGAATTTTAAGAAAAATTCCATTTCAAATAAAGCAGCTTCTTCCTTTTTCTCTGACCAAGCCCTTGTGGCCTTTGAGCACCCAGTTGGACGAAGCAGTGTTGAGGAACGTCATTTGCTGCTCACCCTGGCAGGACACTGGGTTGCCCAGGAGGACCCAGTGCCCTTGGACAAGCTGGAGGAACTGGAGAAGCAGATTTGGATCTGTCGCATTACCCAGCACAACTTCACAGGGAATCAGGAGGAAATAGAGCCTAGATTTTCTCAACAGATCTCAACTAGTGGTGAACTTTCCTTTGATAGCTTAGCCAGTGAGTTTTCCTTCTCCAAGGTGGCTGCTTTGAACACATCAAAATACTTAGAACTTAATGGCCTTCCATCCAGAGAGACATGTGAGAATAGATTGAATTGGAAGGAGCAGGAGTCACTAAACTTATTGATTGGGCACCTCCTGGATAATGGCTGTGTGCATGAAGCAAGTAGAGTATGCCGGTATTTTCATTTCTATAACCAAGATGTTGCCTTGGTATTGCACTGCAGAGCACTGGCCTCAGGGGAAGCTGGTATGGATGACCTGCACCCTGAGATCCATGCTTTTCTACAAGGTGCTGAGCTGCCTACAGAAGAGGAGGAGCCTGGCATTCCTCTAAGGAAAGTCCAAAGCAGTAAGTATAGGAGATCAAACTTACCTGAGTCCCCAGTGATGCTGCTGACATTCTTTCCAAGAAGGAAGGGACCCCTGTGGCACAATAGTTACACTAAGTTAAGGGGACAGCAACTTTTTCCCAGGTAATGTATAAAGTAGGTAATTAACTAKTCAATGAAATAGAAACACCTATCTTCTAACTACTTATATATTATTGTTGGAATTCATCTGACTTACAGCTAGTTCATTTAAATTTGTTCTATACAAATAAATATATTTTAATTGTACATTGATAATAAATTAACCTGTATCATATGACCTTGTTAAACTTACCTTTTCTAGGAATTTTCTTATAGCTTTCCTGGAATTTTCTACATAGAAAATCCTGTCATCTGCACATAGAAATAATTTTATTTCTTCTTTTCCAGTCTCTATGTCTTTTGTCTCTTATTTTTGCTTTATTATACTGGCCAGGCCTTTTAGTGCAATAAAGAAAGCAGGTAAGAAGGATAAGAGTGGACATTCTTGCCTTGTCTTAGGAAGAAAGCATTCAGTCTTTCATCATTATGTATGATATTAGCTATGGGTTTTTCTAAGGTATGCTTTATGTTGAAGCATTTCTTTCTATTCCTAGTTTTTGTTGAATTTTGTCTTTTTCTTCTGCATCTGTTGATCTGATCAGATCAACAAATCTAATCTAAGGGCATCCCCCCCTTAGATTATTAATATGATGGAATATATTAATTGATTTTGATTATTGAAACAGTCTTACATTCCCAGGATAAAATTCCATGTGGTCCTGCCTGGTGAATGATTTTTTAGATATATTGTTGGAATTGGTTTGCTATTTTGTTGAGGATTTTGCATCTGTGTTCATGAAGAATATTGATCTGTAATTTTCTTTTTAAAATATTTTTTAGTTATAGATGGACACAATACCTTTATTTTATTTATTTTGTACKTGGTGCCGGGGATCGAACGCAGTGCCTCACATATGGTAGGCAAATGCTCTACCACTGAGCCACAACCCTGGCCCGATCTGTAATTTTCTTTATATTTTTGTCCTTTGTAGTGGGGGGTAATGCTGATTTCATGGGGTGTAAAGTATCCCCTACCCTTTTTTTTTTTCCTTTCCCAGAAAAGGGAACCCAGAAGTGTTCTACCTCTGAGCTATACCTCCAGCCATTTTTATTTATTTTGAGACAGGATCTCATGAAATCACTCAGGCTGGCCTCAAGCTTGCAATCCTTCCTCAGCCTCCCAAGTACCTGGGATTATAGGCGTGTGCCACCATACCTCACTTTTGACTTCCRTTTCACTAACCCTTTCCTCTGTTATTTCCATTCTGTAATTGAGTCATCTTTACTTCTATTTTCAAATTTCAATTGTTTTTCAGTTCTAAAATTCCTATTCTTTATATTTTTATTTCTTTGCTGAGAATTTGATATTTCAATTTGTCTCAAGAGCATATACAGTTAGTTGCTTACTGGAATATTCATGTAATAGCTATTTTGAAGTCTATCAGATAATTTCAATGTGTGTCATTTTAATGCTAGCTGGTAGCTCTCATCTTTTTTCATGTGAATTGAGATTTTCCTGTTTTTTCATATTTGAGCAATTTGGGGGGTTCTATCCTGGATATTTTGAATAGTTTATTATTCAGATATACTGTTAAGACTTTGGATTTTGTACAAATCCTGTCAACAATGTCCATATTTTTTAAAAGACYTGGTTAGATTCAGGGTGAGTTCTGAGGGCTGCAGTTCCAATATCAGTTCTGTATTCTTAGCAGTGCTCTTCAGATCCATTTTATGTATGTATGCAACCCAGTGGTTAGTGTGTGATCTGAGTAGTGATGTGCAGATTAATTCAATTCTCAGTAACTTTGATAGCCAGATGGGATCAGAAGCATAGAGTGAACCCTGCAGTTCAGAAAACCTGATGGGTTGCTTTCCTGGGCTTCTCCAGGTATTTTCTGGTTCCTTGAGGCCTCCCTTTTCAGGTTTGTGACTAAAAACCAAATACCTTATTCTGTCTTGCACTTCTCTGGCTTCTCTGTCCACGTTCAGAGCCAAGTGACAGAAGAGTAATGAAAAACAAGTGTTTTCTCCACCCTCTTGAGTCTAGAGCACCTCTGCTTAGAAAAGAAGGTTCCCCTCTCTCTCTGGGTTTGGGTCTATTTCAGCTGCCACTGCAGCCTTTGCCACCATTGCCAAGGGGTTGCTTGGGAGCCCCAGAGTAAGGGAACATGAAAATGAAGGGTTCCTTTTTCTGCACACTTGAACTGGTGCTAGAGGGCTTTTCCAGAGATTGAGTGCTCTTGTGCACTGGCTCTTTCTCTTCCCTTCCCTCCATTTTTCCACCTCAGGTGCTCAGTTCTAGGCATCACACTGTTCTGCATTGAGGCTACCAGAGGAGAAGATGGTAATTCTGATTATCTTGGATTTGTGAGAATCTTACTTTTCAAGATTCTTATATACCAATGCATGCATTGTGTCCAGATTTTATATTTAATTCAGTGGGAGAGACAGGGTGAATGATTATTCCAACTTGCCTAGAACTGAACCCTGCAGTGAAGGATGAATACTAATAACATTTTATTTGTCTTTAAAGCATATTCTTATAATGTTTAATATTTTAAATGCAAAAGTTTAACATGCTTAGTGAAACAAATAGCAGTAAAAAATGAATTCAATGCCATGCCCTTTAATTACCCAGAATAACTATTTTTTACTTGGCTTGGTATGCATTAATTTCTGTGTGCAAGTACCAAGTGCATATACAATATTTATTTTTTACAAAAATGAGATTATATTATTGATCTACCTGTTTTCATATCGGCACATATAGATGGACTGACACCTTCTTTTTTTTTTTTTTTTTTTTGGTACTGGATTGAACCCAGGGGCACTCGACCACTGAGCCACATCCCCAGCCCTATTTTGTATTTTATTTAGAGACAGGGTCTTACTGAGTTTCTTAGCACCTCACTGTTGCTGAGGTTGGCTTTTAACTCACGATCATCTCAAGCTGCTGCGATTACAGGCGTGCACTCCGTGGACTGACTCCATCTAATGGCTGCAGAGTATTCTGTATGGATGTATCCCGATTTATTTAACAGTGCTTTATTATACATTTAAATTTTTGTTTTGTTTTTGCCCTTTGAAAGTTGCATAAATATTCTAGTTTTTCCTAATAGATAATTTTTTTTTTTAAATTTGGTAAAAGTTTTCTTCTCTTTTAGGCTAAGCTTCTTTTTTTTTCCCTGAAGTGCTGGGTTTGAACCCAAGGCCAGTGTACCACTACTGAGCCACAAACCCAGTACCAGGACTATTTTTCCCCAATCAGAAATGGGTTTTAATTTTATTATACTTTTAAAAAAATTTTTAGTTGTTGTTGGACACATGCCTTTATTTTATTTATTTTTATGTGGTGCTGAGAATCAAACCTAGTACCTCGCATGTGCTACGCAAGTGCTCTACCGCTGAGCCACAACCCMAGCCCCAAATTTTATTATACTTTTAAAGTATAATTGCATTTTAGAAATGAATATGTGGAAGATTGACWCGGGAGAATGGTGGTTGGCAGCAGAAGGCAATAGCCTTTCATATGCAGGGTTACTAGGCAGTGACTGGGGAGATGTTTTAGAGATAGTCAGGTAGACATGGTGACTTGTTTGACATGAGGGGAAATGGGAGTATGTTTAAAGGAATCTAATAGGCATCTTGGTGCTGATCTCTATAGCATTCCATAGGTGGCTTTGAGTCTTATAGCGTAAAGTGTCTGAAGTAACTTGGCTGGTATTTTCTGGAAGGCGGCAAAGTTTAAGTGGGGCCCTCCCCAACTGAGGAGAGCCATGGAGTGCAGCACAGAGCACTAGTTGCACACACACACAGGCAGTCACAGAGAGCTGGGAGAGGCCTTGACCTACCAGGTGAGAGCCCCCTCAGTCTTGTATTTGCTTTCCAGCTTCAAGTTTGGATAGTCAGTCAATTGTGATGGTGCCTTCAGGTGATGAGGTGGTGACAAATTTGGAAATTCTGACAAGCAAGTGCCTCTATGGGAAGAACTACTGCCGGCAGGTCCTCTGTCTGTATGAACTTGCCAAGGTATGTGCCAAAAAGGGGTGGGGAGGGCACAGTAGACTCCCTGTAAGAGGAAGAGAAGTGGGAAGTAGTAGGGAGATTTTTTTTTTTTTTAAAGAGAGTGAGAGAGGAGAGAGAGAATTTTTTTTTTAATATTTATTTTTCAGTTATCGGTGGACACAACATCTTTGTTTGTATGTGGTGCTGAGGATCGAACCCGRGCCGCACGCATGCCAGGCGAGCGCGCTACGGCTTGAGCCACATCCCCAGCCCCAGTAGGGAGATTTTGAACATTGCCACATCAGCCCTTCAGATGATAATCATAACTTGGCATAGAGCCCTTGTCAGGCTGTTGACCCCTGTGAGCCCATTGTTGGGTAGTGACGGGGAAGACACCAGGTCAAGTGCCAGGGCAGTTTGAGTCCTACCTTTCTGGCTCAGCCAACCAGAAAGCTAGCGCAAGGCATTTTACTTCTAAGGGCTGCTTCTTGCTCTTCATCTATAAATATGATTCAAACATGAAGAGTCCCTTCTAGACCTCATGTCTTAGGTTTTGCTTCAAGGTTGTTTGGAGCATTCCATATGAAGTATAAACAACTATAAACATAGGAGCCAGAACAGCCAGGAATTATCTGGTGGTGGTTTGAGGAAAAACGGTAGAAAGTAGAATGAGAGAAATAAAGACGAGTGTTAAAATCTTTGGAAATTGTGGCTTTGTTGCTGCTGTGGAAACAAGGAAGGTGCTCTTGCATTTTATTCCACTTTAATTATTATTATTTGCAATACTAAGGATTGGAACCAGGGGTGCTCTACCAACAAGTTCCATCCCCAGTCCTTTATAATTTTGAGGCAGGGTCTTGCTAAATTGCTGAGGCTGGCCTTGAGCTTGGATYCTCCTGCCTCAGCCTCCCAAGTAGCTAGGATTACAGGCATGCATTACCATGCCCAGTTCTTATCATGTTTGAAAAGATTAGTGTTTGACAAGAGATAGTCACCTTATGCTTTCTGATGATAAACCTTTCTTTTGCTTGGATCTGGCTTTGGTGAAAAGATAGAATTAGAAAACTGTACTTGTTTCTTCTAAGATTCTTGTTCATAGTGAGGGATTTTTAAGTTCAGAAAACAATGGAGTCTGTCCACATCACATTACAGGAAGATTTATCTTTTCCTGACTCCTAAAAATGACTTTAGCTTTGCCTTCCTCTCAGGAGTTGGGCTGTTCCTACACAGAAGTTGCTGCCCAAGATGGTGAGGCCATGCTCCGAGCAATCTTGTCCTCTCAACAGCCTGACCGATGTAAACGAGCCCAGGCCTTCATCACCACCCAGGGCCTCAAGCCAAACACTGTGGCTGAACTCGTGGCTGAAGAGGTGACACGGGAGCTGCTGACCCCATCAGAGGGAACAGGTGCCTTGTCCTTCAGGCCTCCCAGCCTCTTAGACAGCATTCTTAAGTTCCCAGCATTTGTATTGTATATTGTTTTCTGATCATGCTTTAGAGTAGCTCTGCCTCTCTTCTGAACTAAARCACTCCTTTTATCTTGTAAAATGACCACTAGGTAAAGGTTTTTGAGCCCAGCTGCAGGAAAACTACCCAGGGAACTGTGTCAGGATGAACCTCCTGGTGCCTAGGCCTAGACAGAGTGGGTCTTCTGAGGGCACATTCTTGTCCCTTTCCCAACTCAAGTCTTAAGGCAAACGCAGTGCCTGTCTCCATATCTTTCCATTCAGGACATAAGCAGATGTTCAGCCCAGCAGAGGAAAGTCAGACATTTCTTCAGCTGACCATGCTGTGTCAAGACCGGACCTTGTTAGGCATGAAGTTGTTGGATAAGATTTCCTCTGTTCCCCATGGGGAACTGTCTTGCAGTAAGTTCTTGGCCTTTTTCTTTCATGTTTCAGGTCCTAAACAGGTCTCCCAGGGTCAGTCTCTCCAAAACCAGATTTGGATCCTTGTTCCTCCTGTTCTGTATACCTAGCCTTCAGCATGGGTATAAATTCATGGTAGAAAACTGTTAAGTTCATTGAAGAAAATTTAGAAGATATGGAAAAGTACTCTAAAAACAATCACACACAAAACGGTAACTTTTAATCACTTGTTATTACCCTGCACAGTAGGATAATAACTTGTCCCACTTTAGAAGGGAGGATACTGAAGCTTATGTAAGTTTTCTGACTAATTTATAGCTAAGTGGCAGAGCTGATGTATGTATCCAGTTTGTGGTTCCAAAGTATGCTCATTTTCAAGTATGTCTAGCTCATCATGTGTCTAGTTCATTATATAACTGAGTAATATGGTTTCTCTGATCTTTTTCTATGCAAGACTAAGAGTTTTCTTTTGTAAAAAAAAAAAAAAAAAAAAAATGGCTTTATACTGGTTGGGCATGATGGTGTATACATGTAATCCCAGCAACTGGGGAGGCCAAGGCAGGAGGATCATGAGTTCAAAGCCAGCCTGAGCAACTGTCTCAAAACATAAAAAGGGCTTGGGATGTGGCTCAGTTAAACACACCTGGGTTCAATCCCTGGTACCAAAAATTTAAAAATGACCTTGTACTGGTGTATAATGATTATAATTTTTTTTACTTTATGCATATGCTATCATTTAACATTTTTCATGACATTGAAAAGTCTACACAATATTTCTTGTGTTTATACAAAAGTGTTTATACAGTATTTCTCATGTAACTAAAAATTTTATTCTTTAGGGTACATTTAGATTGTATCCAGTGTTTGCTGTTYTAAACACTCTGATGAAGATCCTTATAGGTGGCGTTCTCTGTGCACATACATGATTATATCCCTAAGATCCTGATTCAAGTATTGTTCTTTTTTTTTTGAAACAAGATTTGAACCTGGARTTGCTTAACCACTGAGCCACATCCCCAGCCTCGCCCCCCCTTTTGGTTATAGATGGAYACAATATCTTTATTTTATTTATTTATTTTTCATGTGGTGATGAGGATCAAACCCAGTGCCTCACACATGCTAGGCAAGCACTCTACCACTGATCCACAACTCCACCCCCTGCCCCCACTCCCTTTGTTTTTGCTTTGCAACAGGGTCTCACTAAGTCCTTAGGGCCTAAGTTGCTGAGGTTGGTCTTAAACTTTCATTCCTCCTGCAATCAGTATCCCTAGTTACTGGGATTACAGTTGTGCACAATGCCCAGCTTGATTCAAGCTAAGGCTTCTGAGATACAGGAGATTTTTCAAAGGTTGAACAGTTTCACTTTAAAAGTAGCCTCTTATCTCTCTCCTCAGCCAGCCCAGGACTTACTAAGTACCAGCTATATGCCAGGTAGTGGAAGGACCTGGGATATGGTGAGCAAGTTCATCTCTGGAGCTTGTGGGGCCAAGATAAGCTTCTACAGGAAATGTCCAAACTAAGGCCTGAGCTATTAGCAGTGCTCAGTAGTCAATATGTTTTGAAAAGTAGCAGCTAAGAATGCACAGAATGTATGAAGGCTGGGAATCCTCAACATTGCAAATATTTCCCCATTTTACCTTTTAATTGTGTACTCACAATGAATATGGGTAATAATTTTACATCTACTGTAATTCAGTCTTTCACCAATCTAGAAAGCTAGAATACCTGAGATACAGAGAGAATATCTTGATTTATGTTGGCAAAAAGTCCATTAGTTTGTCTGCAGAAAGTTTCTCAATCTTCAGAAAGCGAGGATCCCTTTTTCCCATATGTTGTACCTTTTGGAGAAATGGCCACTACATGACTACCTTAAGGATAGAGGTAATCCCTGTGCTATTACTGAGAATAAAATCTAGGCATCAGAGGATTGTCCCAGAGCTAGAGCTGATGAGGTCAGGGCCCTCAGAGGACTAATGAGAGACCTCTCTCCAGATGGGCCTCTTGTCTACCAGGCCCTTTGAATCCTGCCAGGCAGAGTTCAACAGTGGGTTGTCAGGGCTCATAACCTTGTCTTAGTCTTAGCATTGTCTCACTCACCCAGCCACAGAGCTCCTGATCCTGGCCCATCACTGCTTCAGCCTGACATGTCACATGGAAGGCATCATCCGAGTCCTACAGGCTGCCCGGATGCTCACAGATAACCACTTGGCTCCTAATGAAGAGTATGGACTGGTGGTGAGTAGCACCCTCATTYTCATCTTCTGACTTGAGGTAGCTAGGGGCCAGCTCAGAGCCAAAATGGGCTGAGGCAATTCCTCTCTGGATCCTACTGATTCAGCCCAACCCTCTAACCCAAGTGATGATGTCTGACAAAATCAGAGACTGTGCCAGAGAAGCAAAGAGTAAGGATCCCTGCCGTGTTCCAGAGCTGTTGCACACACACACAGGGCAGTTAACTTTTCTAGAAGTTCAACAGCACCATTTCTCCCCAAAAAGAGGTTTAGACCACCTTCTTATCTATGAATTGAAATGAATTAACAATTCCAGCCTCATGTGCCTCCCCAAATTATCCAATCCAGGTAGCTGAGGAAGCCTATAGGCCACTGTAATGAAGAGTAAAGAGAAACAACCTGCCCTAGAGAATAGTAGTACCACAATACTTCTATTATGTCCTTCTGATAAAAGCCCTTAATTTTTAAAAAAGTGGTACTGAACTCACTGAAAGGTGCTCTAACACAGAGCTACATCCCTATCCCTTATTTTGAAACAAGGATCTAAGTTGCTGAGGCTGGCCTTGAACTTGCAATTCTCTTGCTTCAGCTTCCTGAGTAGCTGGGATTATAGAAATGTACCTGAAAATCTATAAAGTTTTATAGAACACTAATAAAATTGCTCAATTTAAGTTTTTATAGGTGTCCTGTATAGGATGGTGGGACATATGGATTAATCATAATTAGAGACAACAGAGAAGACCCTTGTTGGGTGCATGGGAGGGAGGTAGGTAGGGCAGCCTGGCTGTTAGCCCTTCATCCTGTGGAACTTTGCCCCTTAAAGAAGCCAAACTGATGGGGGGCGCGGAATAGTGGTATGGTTCAGAACTCCAGGTGAGCTGAGTGTAGTAGCACACACCTGTAATTCCAGTGACTTGGGAGGTTGAAGCAGGAAGACTGGAATTTCAAAGCCAGCCTCGAAACTCAGGAAGACCCTAAGGAATTTAGTGACACCTGTCTCAAAAATGAAAAGGGCTGGGAATGTTAACTCAATGGTTAAGGTCCCTGGGTTCAATCCCTGGTACAAAAAACAAAACAATAAAGCCTCCAGGTGATGCTGATACAAGTCCCTCCCCCTCAGGTACGTCTCCTCACTGGCATTGGAAGGTACAATGAGATGACATACATATTTGATTTGCTGCATAAAAAGCACTACTTCGAAGTGCTGATGAGGAAGAAGCTAGATCCGGTAAGTTTGAAGTCATGAGCTCCAGGATGACATAGTACCACCAACATTCAGGAGTTGGCTTTTCTCTGGAATAATCCCAATCAGCATTGACCCCTAGAATTTGCAGGGTTGGAATCAGGGACCTCAGTGGTTTCAAATTCAGTTCAGACAAAGTAATGATAATGTTGATACCAAATATTGAAGAAAAAGTTTTTTCTCCACCTTGGCCTCTACTCATAAAATTAAAGTGCCTTCCCTGGCAGGGACAAAATCCTTCCTGAGAGGCATGCTAAAAATGGAGTGTCCAGTTCTCAGGCTTGTGTCTGAAGTTCTTGAGTGTAGGATTTTCAGGAGACCATGAAAAAATGTTGCTGAGAGTCAAGTGAGGAATGAATACAAAGGCCTATAGCTGTTGAGCCATTTATATCTACTAGAAAGGAGGCTTGGAAGTAAAGACGTGAGTCAGGTCTTGTCTTTGGGATTGCGAACCTGTCTGTTCCCAGCATGCTGTCACCAGGTATAACACTCACACAGCCTCTGTTTGCAATCATACATTTGGCTGACTTATTGCCTTTGCCTAGTTCACCTCTTAAGAGTTAAAACCCAAGAGTATGTTTTTGGCTTCTGAGAGCCCAGGCCAGCCAAAAAAGATTAAAAGAAAGCCCCCCCCCCCCCAAAAAAAATCTCATCTTGGACCAGTTTCAAAACAGACCAACAGACTGGTCCAGCCTCTGGGAGAAGAACAAGTATTAAACATAGGTACATCTTCAGAATTCCCCCAGAGCTTTGTAAAATGGTTTTTGAGGCAGTTTCTACATTTAAATATTCTTTTAATAACTTTTTTTTTTTCTGATTACAAAAGTAATGCAAATTCCATGTAAGACACTTGAAAAACAACAGGAAAAAAATCCTCAGTGTCTACCCACTATCTGCAGACAGCCACTGCTCACAATTTGGTATATGCCCTTTGTTTGCACATGTATCCCAACACATACGTACATATTTACATATTTTAACACAACTTACATTAAGCTTAAAAGATATGAAACAGCCTCCTATTCCCCCTTAACATTAAGCATAACTATAACTGTCAAATCAGCAGATAATCTTCTATATCACTTTTTAATGGCTACAAGGTATTATTCTCTTAGCTCTTATTTTGGGTATTTGTAGTAGTTCTAATTAATTGCTCTTAAGTATCTGTATTACATTCATTTTAGCACTTTCCTCTGCTTCTTTCTTTAGGATAGATGTCTAGAAATCAAATTGTCAGCATTTGCATGCATATATATTAAATTTTAAGGCTTCTCCCTTCTGAAAGGCTTTACTGCTCATATTCCCAGCAGCAAAAAGTATGTGACTGTTTCCTTATATTGAGAATAGTTTAAATTATTCACTTTTTTTATCCTTGTTTCTTGGGAGTTTTTTCCTTATTTTTATTGGTACATTATAATTATACAGTAGTAGGATTTGTTGTTACATATTTGTACAAGCACACAACATAACAATGTAATTTGGGTTAATATCACCCCCCAAATACCTTCCCCTCTCCTTCTTGGTAGTTTTTACAGAACTTTGGGAACTAAGAGATTCAGCCATTTCTGCCTGCCTTGTATTCCCTCATTGAGACCGTGGTATTCCCTTTTTCCTCCCTTTGGCAGAGTGGTACCCTGAAGACAGCCCTGCTGGATTATATCAAACGGTGCCGCCCTGGAGACAGTGAAAAGCACAACATGATAGCCCTGTGCTTTAGTATGTGCCGAGAGATCGGGGAGAACCATGAGGCAGCTGCCTGCATCCAACTGAAATTGATTGATTCTCAGCCTTGGGGTGAGCAAGGTCACAAAGCTGCTAACCAKGGAGTTTTTAGGGCCAAGGGTAAGAGCTCATATGAGATTGGCTGTTAGAAGTAAGGTGGGTATTTGTCACTGTGGGAGCCTCAGCCAGGCAGATGGTATCATCCATCAGGAACTATGGTTATGCCACATAAGCCTTCCTGGATGTTCCAGAGAGAAGTGAACTACAGGGGCACTAAATCCTCCATAGTGAAGTTCTACTGAGAATGTATATTTCTGGCCCAACACCCTTTACCTAAGAGACACTTGCCTCCCTATGAACACAGCTGGGATGTTTCTCTTCTAGCCCCCAACATCACTGTGTGGGTAAGAACAGCCTACCTTAGGAGCAGTTAGACTCAGCAAGTGTCTTTTATCCTCAGCAGAGGACAACCTCAAGGATGGACTCCAGCTGAAGCAGCTATTGCTGAAGGCCCTGACCCTGATGCTAGATGCAGCAGAGAGTTATGCCAAGGTAACTACAAAGTCTTACTCCAGATTGGCCTTGGAAGTTGKTGTCTGCGATATAATTTTTTTCTTTTTTGGTCCCTAGGGTTTTCCAAGTGAAGGTAGGGATGGTGTCATGGGTTAAGCAAGAGCAGAATGGGTGACTACAGTTGGAGGGTTCACATAAAAGATGTTAATAAATCTTCTGTCTGTGCCTCTCTCTACCCTCCTCTCTCAGGACTCCTGTGTACGACAGGCCCTACACTGTCACCGCCTTACCAGGTTGATAACCCTACAGATTCACTTTCTGAACACTGGCCAGAACACAATGCTTATCAACTTAGGCCGCCAAAAGCTGATGGACTGTATCATGGCCCTACCTCGGTTCTACCAGGTGAACAGGAAAACTCTAGCTGGCAGTGCCAACATCCCTCCTACTGTATCACTCATGGTACCAGACGTTGAATTGAGTTGTCTGAGGTCTCAGTACCAGAACAGAATCAGAGCAGTCCCCATCTGGTTTAGCTGTCAAWCTAACACCAACATTAATAGAGCCATGAATCTCAGGTCAGCATCAGGAATCTTGGACTGCCAGGAGATTCAGTGTTTAATGAAGAGGGGTTGATGTCAGGGTATCAACCTTTTCACTGTTCCTTATACAGTTGAGCTGGTGGGAATAATATAGTACTTTCTCAGTTTTATTAGTCCATTTTGAAGAACATTAAAAACAGTGAAAGAAAGTATTTGGGTGTTTATGGGAGAGGAAATGCCAAATTGAAACATGACTTTTCATTGATTATGATACATGGAACCTTTTAACAAAGTGAAAAATGATACATCACTATTATTTTCTAGAACAGTTTGCTTTAAATCTTAACATCAAATTGGCTTTAATGATATTTTTCATTTCTGTTCTTTCAAAAAAGGCTTCTATCGTGGCCGAGGCCTATGACTTTGTTCCAGATTGGGCAGAAATTCTATACCAACAAGTGATTCTTAAAGGAGATTTTACTTATTTGGAAGAATTTAAACAACAAAGGTTGTTAAGACCTAGTATAATTGAAGAAATTTCAAAAAAGTAAGTACTAAGTTTATATGCTAGGTGCTGTGGTACGAGCCTATAGTCTCAGCTCCAGCTACTTGGGAGGTTAAGGCAGGAAGATCACTGAAGCCGAGACCAGCGTGGAATACAGTGAGACCCTGTCTTTGGAGGATGGTTTTTGACTGTAAGCATTTCTGCTTTTTTAAAAAAATATATTTATTTTTTAGTTTTAAATGAACACAATATCTTTTATTTCTATGTGGTGCTAAGGATCAAATCCAGTGCCTCATGCATGCTAGGCAAGTACACTACCACTGAGCCAAACCCCAGCCCTTAGAGCTTTGAAGTGAAATGAGAGAAAGAAATTTATGGCTGATACATACAGCATACTTTTAACTACCTTCAGCTTAAAATGGCAAAATGTCAAGAATTTCCAGAAGTGATCATTTAGAAGATTCACGCAAACAGATGAATGAGAGTAGTTTGCTTAGTGTTTTGTACTTAAAATGGAAGGATAGCTACTCAGTTTGCCTGAGATGCCTTTCGCCTTTGAGTCCTAAACTTACTATAATTATTAAGGTAAGCATTGACATASTTTAATAAAATATTTTATCTGAAACTATTATTGGGGGTGTTTGATAAATTTCAAGGCTATAGCATTCTCTTATAAGTAGTGGTTTTTAAGAGCTGACAGCCCTTTAAAGATAGAGAATTTTACTCTTTACATTCTTATGTTTCTTTTATCTAGATATAAACAACATCAGCCTACCAACAAGGTCACAGAAAACTTGAAGAAGTTACTTTCATACTGTGAAGATATCTACCTGTATTACAAGTTGGCATATGAACACAAATTTTATGAAATTATAAATGTACTTCTGAAGGACCCTCAAACAGGTTGCTGTCTAAAGGATATGCTTTCAGGTTAGATGATCTCAAAGGTGCCTGTTTTCTTGTACTGATGTGAGGTTCTGACACATGTTCATGATCAGAGTAGAATAATGCACTGGGGATCTTTGTTGTCTGAATTAGAAAAGCTCAGGACTGTACCATATCAGTCTTTGTAGGTGGTAGGTAATGAAGGCGAGACTTTACCAGGAAAATTTCTACTTTGAAGTTATTGTTCATCTATCCCATTTTATATGGATACTGGTATTYTTCTTCCTCAAGATGGCTTCTGTATTAGGAGGTGATACAGTAATGATTAAAGAATACCTATGCCTGTAGATTCCAGTTTCAAATATATTTAATATTATTTACACAATTAAGGAACAGATGATACATTTTCATTTGTTAGAAACTGATCTTTCTATAATAAAATAGATTTTAAATTCAGTGTATGTCATTATTACTGCTAAGGAAATCTTAGCCCTTGTCTGCCTTAAAACAACATTTACTATAATTATTGCTGTGTAATCATGGCCTTCTGGTCATTTAGATGGTCATGTTTTCCACTTAGTAGCCTACAGAGCTTTGAGGTTTATTTCCTATGGAAATGAGAAATATTTCTTATATTCMGATTATGACAATTAAGGAAACAAAGACTCAAACCACAAATTTGGTCAAATCACTTAATAAAAAAGATCCCACAATTTATGCTTAGAGCCATATCCTGAGTTGTAGACTCTATAATTCCAAATAMATAGTTGTTCTAGGAACTTCATTAGGCCTTAGTATCTAAAAACAAAATAACTTCCCAAGTAAGAGGAAGACAGCCCTACACCTTTGTTGCTCTACAGTGACACTGTTAAAGACCTGGCAAATCATTGTTTTAAAGCTGTTAACTACATCAAGCACTGATTAAACTTTAAGTATATAAAGAACTCTAGTCCCAAGAGGTGCATTCTGTATTCTCCAAAAATATCTCTTGGGAGGTAACACAAAATTTAAGTCCTCACAATAGTGATTTTATTAAATTAGTTGCTTTATAAAACATTGCAGATGTCATAATTGTTAACATAACAATTTACCAAACTGTAGTTAACTGGTGCAGTTTGCTGAGCATGTTTTATAAAGGAAAGGAAATGCCAAAACCCTGTTAAAGTTGTTCCATTGCAGCCTACGAGAACAAAGAGATTTGTTTCTCAGACACTTGAATCAGGCAAATAAAAACAGAGTTTCCCTCCCCCATCTGAAGCACTTCATCAGTAAAAATAGTCTGATAAATAAAGAGATTCCACAACTTTTACTGTACTGCAAAAATGGAGAAGTTTACCTTCTTCAGCTTCAAAGTTGGAGGGTTTTGGTCATTTAATTTTTAAGTATCACACTAGTACTTTTCAGCTGCAGTATCTTCAGTCTGAGATAAGCAGTCTTCTTCACAATGTATTTTTAACATCCTCACGCTCAATTTAAGACAAAGCAATTTTAATACTAGGTGCACACCACATGCCCTTGCTGCAAACTGCTTTTCTTGACAAGTTATGAAGTAGTTCAAGGAGGTATGGTTAAGGCTGTATTACTGAATGGTGCTGGTAAATACTACATAATTTTTTGTCATGTTGCAACCTTTGTTTCCAATTTAGTGGCTGCTGCTATGGAATCAAACAGCAACAATGACAACATTATTAGGTTTTTTTTTTTTTAAAACTATGATTTAGTAGCAATTGAGGTTCCCCAATTTTAACCCCTTGGCAGCAAGATCCACGTTCCCTCATTTGCACATTAGCACCTAAGTGTCAAGGGGTAAAATAACCAGCACAAAAGATACTGCACTTCTGATTGTAGCATTTGGCAGAACTGAAAGGAAAGGAAGTTGTGCTACATGTTGAAGGGATTGTGGGCAACAGAAAGAAGACACCAGAAGATAAAATGTCACATGAAGTCTTCATAGTCTTGTACATAGCCTCCATCATAACCACCATAATCTGCCAGATCATCTTTCATGGTGGCCTTTAATCCCCCTCCAGGAACCACGCCTTTCTTCTTCTTTTTGGCTTTGCTTTGCTAAAGATGAGAAAGAGTTATTTCAAGAGACTTTATCTGCTATGGACATTTTATCTGATACAGCAACCCTCATAGAAATATCAAAAGCATCTGGTCCCAGAAGAAACCTTAATTCTTTAAGGGAGAGCTCAAGCCTAATTTATAGCAGTTTCTATTAATATTGAGAAGAGAAATTCGAACATGTCTATAAACAAAAGGACAGTATTGGCACCCATACTCCTGTTCTATTCCAACTTAAATGGTATTGGTAGTGCTTGACTTTTATGTTTTTGACAGACCCCTATTATATTTGAGAATTTTCTYACAACCCCATCCTAACATAATACTTGTTTCCCTGCACAGCTTGTCCTTACCTTTTCTTGCTTCTGTTTTTCACTGCAAAGCACAGTCAATGAATTGGTAATCTTTTTCAAGTCATCAATTTCCACTATTAAAAAAAAAAAAAAGACACTGATCTTCAAGTTTTAAGCATTTTGAAAACTAAAGCAAAATAGATATCCTTCCAAAAATGTTTTGAGAAGCCTAATTTGTCCATCAAGTAACCCTGAAAATGACTGAACTTTTAAAAATATAAGGTGGTTAGGGAATCAAGAGTTTATGGCTCAGCTCAAGGTAGAACTACTTAAAAATGGTGAATTCAGTAACAAAAATTCCACTTTATAATGACCTACAACAACATACTATTGCTCAATCATACAGAAACTAAAAGTGACTTAATATTGCACAGTACTCTCCCTTCTATCTTTCCTTCAGTCTAAACAGATGGATAACCATGCACTTCCTAACTGCTCATTGAGCATCAAGGATGTGTTAAGATTTCTTGAACCTGCAGAAGAAAACCCCATACCCCTAGGGGGACTCCATTTTCTATCACAGAATTAGAATGAAAACTGATTTATCTCAGTGTGCTATAAGGTGACAAGCCTGTTAAGTGGTGAACATACCTTCCCATCCTTTTAAAAACATGAAGCCAGAAAGATATCTAGCTTTTAGCTATCAGAAAATGTTCAGTTTGGGATACAGAACCTCCCAAAATAGGAAAATTAGTACAGCAGAATGAAATACCAACTCTGGTTACTTCACTGATTAATTTTAGAAGCCCCAGCTTACTGATCATTTCTCAAAGAAAACCCAATTTATAATTCATTATATAGGATTCCTTTTTTTCAAACAGCAAATACTAGCAAAACCAGTCCTTTCCACATTACTACTGCATGACCCATAGCTGTCACTCTGAAAGGTATGACTCCTTTGGGTGTGACATCAGAGCAGCATCCCAGAGGATGGGTGCCAGCTCTATTAAGTATTTTGTCTTAAGCTTCCAAACACTGGAAGTCTCTCACTCACCTGAAAATCCTGAAAGCCCAGAGGCCATTTCCCCCAAAAGATACCTCCCTTTCAAGAAATAAAAAAATTTACTCAGTTGCTTTGCTGGCAAGCCCAGATGTCTCTTTGGGACACCAGTGAAGGCAGCCTATCCCCGCCCACACACATCCAAAAAAACCCAACACTCACACTAACTGTACATGTAGAACAAAAGAAGCAAACCCCCAAGTTTCTACAACAGAATTAAAAAAAAAAATCCCCCCATCCCTGCTTCTCCCTGAGTATAATTTCACTTAAAATCTACCCACAGGGGCTAGAAATGAGAATTACTTACATGAAATACACACATCTCGAACTAAGGCTTCCAAAAAACTGGCATAATATAGTGACTTTTCATATTGGGTAATTTTATCTTTTAGTAACTTTCCAAACTCTGTGAAATCATCTCTTGAAGATGGGTTCATAGCATCTATTCCATAAACTGTACTGTTAACACCTGTAGAAGAGAAGAAACACTAGGAATATCAGAAAGTTTTGTTTCATTCTAAAACAGATTCTTAATCTAGACCCATTGAAGCCCTTGGACAGAATCTGGGAGTGGAGTATAGTGGGGAGCATGCCCTATGAATCTGAATGAGAGAAATAAATTTACATTTTGATTTTCACTTATAGAGACCATAAATAATTTCATATCACATTATAGTTTTAGCAGATATCTTGAATACTGTATGGTCATTACCTTCAAAAAAACCTTTTTTTATTAGATTTGCCACTGGATCTTATTAATAAAAAAGCATACACAGGCCGGGAGTGCAACTCAGTGGTAGAGGACCTAATATGCAGGAGGCCCTGGGTTCAATCCCCAATACAAGGGGTATTATATAATAAAAAAATTATACAATTTTAATAAAATTAAAATTGTGTAATAAAATAAAACTAATAAAAAATAAATTCTGTAATAAATTCATTATTTTAGTATTTTGATATCTATTTTCAATTATAGGTTTCCTTTGTAAATAAAATTCTATGCATTTATTGTATTCATTTGAAAATATTATGCTACAAAAGGGCCCATAAATTCACCAAGCTGCCAAAGAATCCCATGGCACAAAAAGGATGTTCTTAAAGGTCTGTCCAAAAGTTCAGCCACAGCAAAGTATGGAAAGGGGGAAAAAAACGTAAGAAACAAAGATGGRGCCTTAATACCCAGTCAAATCCAAAAACTAAGCAGAGGTATGCCATGTGTTAAATCCCAACAGAAAAATTAATCTGACCTAAAAGAATTATAGGCTAAATGACAGTATGATTCTGTATCCTTCTCAAGGGCAAGAGTAAATTAGTTGTTAAAATCATGTATTGAGTATTTTAGTATGAGAAACACAACAGTAAAATTCTATTAATTAAACAATGACTGTATATGGATGCATATAATTTTACTTTTTAATCTGTAATTGGTATTCCACACTAGGCTTTATAAGAGCACAATGCATAAACCCACCTCTTTAATAAGCATATGGGCAGCTTTTAACATCCTATGTAGACATGAAATAAGGGCCCAGTGCCCTCTATAATTAGATGAGTACTTTTAGGACTTGCCAAGCAGCATATAGGAGCGTCTTTGGCAGCCACTTTTTTTTTTTTTTTTGGATGATGATGGGGATCAAACTAAGGCCCTTTCATACACTAGGCAAGTACTCTACTACTGAGTTATGTCCCTAGCCTGGCCCGGCCCAGCCCAGCCCATAGTCACACTTGAGATTGCTAAAGACTGACTGAGAAATGAGGTCATAGATCTCTATAAAGGGAATGATCACTGCAATCGTCCCCTGATGCACTTGAGAAAAGGACTGGCAAAAACCCAGGTCAACTAGAGCCTTYTTGGTTATAGATTTCAGTTTCAATGTTACTTAACTGATTTAACAGGATCTTCTAGTCTGAAAAGTACTCAATACCTAACAACAAACTTGGTGTACCCCTGTCATATGAATCTCCCCTGAAACACACCAAATGTATAGGATCCTGAACCACAGCTGCAGGCATGATACACAGAAATGGTGGCCCCTAAAAGAAAGGGCATGGTGAAGGCCAAGGAAGAGAGGACCACACAAAGAAACAACTGAGTACAAGAAGGCACAAAGATGAATGTCACATGGACTGTCATCCTATTACCTACTACACAAGTCTTGTCTTGGCCCAGAATAGCACTGTAAGCACTATAAGTTCTATAAGCACTATAATAGCACTGTAAGAACTATAATAGCATTGTAAGCACTATAAGCACTACAATAGCACTGTAAGTTCACTACTTAAATTTCAAAGTTACAGACCTCAAAAAAAAAAAAAAAAGTTACAGACCTCAGACTTCATTCAAGTTTCACCCAGCTGATACATGCTAGGCAATGATGTACTTTATTTAGATCCAATGACAACTTAATCTTTTAATATACTACAAACAGTTACTCAAAAATCTGAACATGTACGTCCTTCACACTTGCCTTCAAGTAATGAAATCTCAAAACTGCTTTCCAATATCTAAATTTGACAGGATCATGTTAAAAAAAAATTTCCAAAGACTTAAAAAATGATGTTTGCCAGGAGCAGGGGCACACATCTGTAATCCCAACAGCTCAGGAGGCTGTGGTAGGAGAATAGCAAGTTCAAACCAGCTTCAGCAACTTAAGGAGACCCTGTCTCAAAACAGAAAATAATAAGGGCTGGAGAGGTGGCTTAGTATTTATGTGCCCCTGGGTTCAATCCCCAGTACCAAAAGTCAGTTCAGTGATGGGGCTTTGCCTAACATGTGCAAGGTCCTGGGTTTGCTCTTCAGCACCACAAAAAAAAAAGGCAAAAGGCAAAATTGAACTTTCACAACTTAAAAGACTCCTAGAGTTTTCAGCTACAATAATTCAGTATTGCACTAAAATCACACACCCATCTTACCAAAAGTTTCTTTAGCTAATTCAAGATCTGACTCTTCCTGTAATTTCTTAAGCCGCAGTTTATCTGCTAATTGTTCTTCTGGTGTTAGCACTTTAGGTTCTTCAGGTTCTTCTAACTGAAATGAAACAGAAGTTTTAAAAGGGCTGTGATTATGATGGACCCAGTATAATTCTATAGTGTATGAATTTTTTTATAAGTACTTACAATTATAAATAAGCAAGCATTTATAAAGTGATGACTATATTTCAGACATTCTTCTAAACACTTTAGATATTCTTATCCCAATTACATAGGAAAAAAACTCCAGAAGCAGAGATAACAGACAGTAACACAGCTAGTAATGTTAACAGAGGTAAGATTTGAACCCAGGAACACTAGGATTATTCCTATTGCCTTTTTTAAAAACAAGGAATTTGGGGCTGGGGATGTGGCTCAAGTGGTAGTGCGCTCGCCTGGCATGCGTGCGGCCCAGGTTCGATCCTCAGTACCACATATAAACAAAGATATTGTGTCTGCYGAAAAAACTAAAAAATAATAAAAAAAATTCTCTCTCTTGTCTCTTTCTCTCTTTTAAAAAAATAAAATAAATAAATAAAACAAAAACAAGGAATTAAAATTGTAGGCAAGAGAAAAATGTACTCTCATATACTGTTATTACTATATTGGAACAACCTTTCTAAGGGCAACTTAAAATATTTATCAAGTCTTAAAATTCTTTAATATGCTTTAATTAAGTAATTCCATTTCCAGGTATTTAGCTTAAGAAGTCTAAGATGCACATATTTATTTAAGCCACTGAAATTATTATTTATAATTACAAGTCAATTCAGAGACCACCTAAAATGTCCAACAACAATACTAATAGCCATTAAGAACACATTTTCTTTGAAGCATCTGAAAACATTATTTTTGCCAGGTATGGTGGCGTATGCCTGTAAAACTAGCAACTCAAGAAGGCTGAGGCAGGAAGATCTCAAGTTTAAAGAAGCCACCTTTGGCAATTTGGCAAGATTAAAAAARGGTTGGGGATATAGCTCAGTGATAGAGCATCTCTGGGTTCAATTTCCAGTATCTCACACACATTTCATTTTTTTTWAAATTAAGGTTTCTTCATATTAGAGACTAATATAAAAATATAACAGTATAATTCTAACTTAGATGACCAGGAAAGAGTCAATCAATACAACTCCTTAGACCGAGTTTTAAGATTCAATTGCTTATACTGATCAGAGAAACATATACAGTTATTACAACAATACATGGAGGGCAATTTGGAAATACTTGTGAGACAAATGTACCCATGGGGCTGGGAATGTGGCTCAAGTGGTAGCATGCTCGCCTGGCATGCGCGGGGCGCTGGGTTCGATCCTCAGTACCACATAAAAATAAAATAAAGATGTTGTGTCCGCCAAGAACTAAAAAAAAATAAATATTAAAAAAAATGTACCCATTACCTAGCATTCCCATCTTKGGAAATTTATTCTACAAACATGGATACACGTGTTAGAAGTAACAATATGTAATGGTTAGTCACTGAAGTATTATTTATCAAAGACAGGATCGACAAATCTAACTGACCATCAATGGGGAACTGGTAAAATAAATTAATGGTACGTCCAGATAATGGAATGCTACATAGCTACCAAAAAACTGATTTAGAATAAACCAGAAATTAATGAAAACAGTTTCCACAGGCAGTTATAGGGAAAAGGGAGAGGAGAGGAATGGATATTTGAGATCTTCCTCCCCTGTATGATTGACACTGTATATATTTTCAGTATACAATCTGATATATACATTGTGAAATGACTAAATCAAGCTGGTCAGTAGAATATTTGTCACTTCACATACTTATATTTTTGCATGATGAAAACATTAAAGGGCTGGGGTGTAGTTTGTGGTAGCACTAAGCATGAGGCCCTGAGTTCAATCTCCAGTACCACAAAAAGTAATTAATTAAAAAAAACCTGATCTGGGCTGGGGTTATGGCTCAGCGGTAGAGCACTGGCCTAGTGCAGGTGAGGCCCTGGGTTCGATCCTCAGCACCACATAAAAACAAATAAAACAAAGGTATTGTCCAATTACAACTAAAAAATATTTTTAAAAAAAAACTGATCTACTTTCTTCAATTTGAAATGTTTCTGAGTATGCCACTTTTATATAGCTTTAATTTCTGAAAAAAACAAAGTTGAATACAAAAGAGAAAAGTGGGACTCAGTAGCACACACCTGTAATCCCAGCTACTCCTCAACAGTTTAAGTGAGACACTGTCAAAACAAAAAAGGGGTGGGGGGCAGGGAGAGGGCTAGAGTTGCAGCACAGAACCTAGGATCTGGTTCCCAGGACTGGTGGGTGAGGCAGAGGTTGTGACACTGTATTGATTAAAACATAATGAATCTACAAATGAGTTTGAGTTTACAAAAACCTGTTACTGCCTCTCATCTTTCACTGACATTACATTCCCTCTTCTTAYTCTGAAAATTGGTAATTAGAGGATTAAGTTTTTAACTCTGCCTTTCTAATACAAACCATATTCAAAGTATCCAAATAACAAATAGAAAAAAGAGCCAGCCAATAAACAGAAAAGTCACCATTATGAGAAACATCATTCTGCAATCCCTAATTAAATAATTAGGCAATGATCATCAAAAACATTATAACTGGGTGAGAGGTTGATGTGATTTTGGATTACCCATAAAAGGAAAGACAGAAGCATCAGGATGTYAACATTTTAATCCAGTGACCAATTTTAGCATCAGTAACACAGGAGAGATGACTCCTGATGTGTTATAGTATGAAACATACAGCATTACTTCCAAAGTAGTCCAGCTTAAAATATCAAATATGAATCTAACCAAAATTTTATACTCAACTGCCAAATTGAAGAAACTAAAATTATGAGTAAGTAATCAGATAAATATATATAGAAAGGGGGATGTTCAATAAGACAATTAGCCTGGTCTCTTCAACAAGTTAATGAAGAGAAAGAGAAAGGAAGTGGAGAAGGGAGAGGGACAGAAAAAGAGAGATACTCTAAGAGACTTGTGATACATTAACAACCAAATGCAATGCATGATCCTTATTTGAGCAGACCATACCTAAAAGACATGATAATCAGAAATTTGTATGTAAATAGGATACTAGATTATGTTTAAAAATTACTGTTCATTTTTTAGGTGAGATATGATTGTAATCGTATTAGAAATATCCGTTTTCAGAAATGTGTACTGAACTAAAGACAAAATGCATAAAGTTTATTATTGTATTTTAGCGAGACAAAAATAGTTGAAGCAAATTTGGCAATATAATGACAAATTTAGGTGCTACATATTACTCATTATTCTATTTTCTCTACTTTTTATGTTTGAAAATATTCTTAATAAAAAGTCAAGGAAAAGAATAAAGCTTTCTATGATCTGTATGAAAGGATCTTTATGGTATATCAAATAAAAAGGTGTCTGGGCATGGCAGTACACACCTGTACTCCCAGCAACTTAGGAGAGTAGGCTGAGGCAGGAGGATTGCAAGTTTAAGTCCAGGCTCAGCAACTCAGTGAAATCCTGTTTCAAAATAAAAAATAAAAAGAGCTGGGGGGTTGGGCACAGTGGCACACACCTCTAAACCCAGCTAGCTGGGGATGCTGAGGCAGGAGGATGAAAAGTTCAAAGCCAGCCTCAGCAAAAAGCAAGGTGCTAATAAGCAACTTCAGACTCTGTCTCTAAATAAAATACAAAGTAGGGCTGGGGATGTGGCTCAATGGTCAAGTGCCCCTGAGTTCAATACCCAGTACCAAGGGAAAAAAGGGGAGGTGGGGAGAAAAAAAATGGCTCAGTGGTTAAGTGCTTCTGGGTTCCATCCTCAGTATCAAATTAAAAAAAAAAAAAGAAAATGTAGTTATATCCAGACACATCAAGTTCATAAAGATACCTAGAAGAGATAAGAAAGCCTTACTGTGGGATAGAGGAAAATATACAGTATAAAAGAGTTAAACTATCTTGATTTTTGAATTCTGTAAATGTACTTTCTATTCAAAAAGCAAATTAATACAATATTACTGATMTTGTTCCAAATAATCAAGAACAAAAATATTTATATAGTGTATGACACAGAAATGAATGCTTTCTGTATTTTACTCAGTATGTACACCACAAATAATCATGACTAGAAAGAACTGCAAACATTGACAAAAAAAATCACTGGCTGTGGTTACTGTGCAATTGTGACTGTTCCTGAAATACATACAGCATCTGGATTCTATTTTTGCAAAAACCACATATCAATTTGTTTTGGGATTTACCTTGCTATATAAGCTATATAAGTATCCATTTATTTACATTCTTCACAGGGCCCTTCAAATCAAATTGTCTGTTAAACATTGTACCACTACTGATATTAGAATTCTGTATGTATTTTAGAAAATGAACAGTACTAACCCTCTTTTTAATTTCTTCTTGCCTTTTCTTCTGTTGCCTTTCTTTCTCTTTTATCTTCTCTGCTATTTTTTTCTTTTCTGAAATTTTTATTTCTGAAAGAAATATTTTATTCATGATTATTAAGTACTTTGCAGTTCAAGGATGGGACAGATAAGATACTTAAATACTTTAAGAGACCAAACTTTTCCTAGCTTTCAGATTCATATGGTCATATTCTAGAAAATTAAAGTGGTAAAGTTCTGGAAGTCTTTTCCTCTCTAATCTGACCCATAAGATCAAACATCTCTACATATATTCCTACCACCCTTTAAGCAAGACCAACAGCATTCAAATAACTATAATGCTGCACTCCCTCTGCTCTCTCTTCATAGCCCAGCACTCAAAAAGAAAAAGAGGCGATATCTGATTACATTTGAGGAGACAAAGAAGAGATGCAGGAAAAAGAAAATAAAGAAGAAATAGAAGAATGCTTAGTTTCAATATACCAACAATTTTGTGAGCATTTTGTTATTTAAGCACTAAATGCCTACACCAAGATATAAAACCAAAAAAGGAAGAGCACTAGTGGCTCACCTGGTTTTACTTCTGCTTCCTCTTTTTTTTCTTCATCATCATCATCCCAGTTATCCTAAAGAAAAAAAAAATACATATTTATATACACATATATGTTCCACGAGGCCTTTATTATCAACTTGTCTAACTCTATGGAGACAAACTTTTGGGTTTTGTTAATGCATTACATAATAAATTAATGTAGGAAGAACTGACACCTTTAAATACCTGAGCTCCCTAAAAAAGGGCTCTTCCCAATTGTTTGAGTCCACTTTTTTATTTTTTAAGAGAGTTGGAAAGTTTCCAAGAGGTTTTATACATTTCTCTGTAGGTTTTTCCTAAGTATTTCATAAGGTCCTGAACTGCTTTTGTAAATAGGGTTTTTCTCTCCAGTTATATTCTCTAACTGGTTATTTTTATACAGAAATACCTACTGATATTTTTATGTTAATTTCATTATCTTACTGAATTCATTTATCACTTACACTGGGTGACACACAACTGTAATTCCAGCTATTTAGAGGTTCTAAATTTTACTTTCTACATTAGTTTTAAAATTGACTTGGGAGGCTAATGCAGAAGGATTCTAAGTTCAAGGACAACCTGTACAACATAGWGAGACTGTGTCTCAAAATACAAAATTTAAAAGAGCATGCCTATAATACCAGCTACAAAGGAGGCTGAAGAGGACAATTCCAAGTTCAAGGCTAGCTTTAGCAATTTAGTAAGATCCTATCTCAAAATGAAATAGTGGGGGCTGGGGTTGTGGCTCAGCAGTAGAGCACTCGCCTAGCATGTGCAAGGCCCTGGGTTCAATCCTCAGCACCACATAAAAATAAATAAAAGAAAAATACTGTGTCCAACAACAACTGAAAAATATTTTTAAAAAAATGAAATAAGGGCTGGGGATGTAGCTCAGCAGTGGAGAGTTTGTGTAGCATGTGTAAGGCTCTAGGATGGAACCCAATACTACAAAAAAAAAAAAAAAGTTAGATTTATAATAGATTCTTTAGGGATTTTCTAAGATAGGTGGAACACTCTAATCTGAATATCTGAAATCTGCAGTGCTCCAAAATTCAGAACTTTGTTTAAAATTACCTTCAGGCTATGTGTAAAAGKTATATATAAAACATAAARGGAAAAAAAAGAATTTTACATTTAAACTCATATTTGCAAAAATTTCAAATTCTGAAATAACACCCAAAACCAAAACACTTCTGATCCCAAGCATTTCAAATAAGGATACCCAACCTGTACTACCACATCATCTGCAAACAAGACAGCTGGACTACTTTTTATACCAATTATTCTACCTCCACAATTGATTTATCTAATGGCAATAGCTAAACCTCTAAGTACAATGCTGTATAGATAATGAGCATCCTTGCCGCCTTCCTCTTTCTCTTCTTAATAAAACTGCCTATGGATCTTCCCCATGGAGCCCTATGCTATACATGCTACCAAGTTTATGCAATAAATTTATCAATCATTTAATTTATTATCTCTGAATTTTGGTCTGCTAAGAAGTCTTATACCAAAGAATTCACTAATATTTTCTTCTAGAATATATAGGGTTTCATTAGTTTTTCATTTAGATTTCTGACCCATTTAGAGTTTTTTACTTGTATGGTATAAAGCATGGGTCTATTATCTATTTCTCCAAATACCTAGTCAGTTGTCACAGCATCATTTACTAAAAACCCTTCTTTGCCACATGATTTACCGTATACTTAATTTCCTTATGTACTTGGAATACTTCTGGGCTTTCTATCTTGTGCTACTGTTATACTGTCTCTTCATATATCAGCACCACACTGTTTTAATTACAGAGCTTWTATGGTATGCTTTAATGTCCACTAGTGCTAGTTCTCCCATGTAGTTTTTTTAATGCTTTCCTGACGATTCTTGCATGTTTGTTTTTCATATGGACCTTTATATCAACTTATCTAACTACATTAAAAAAAGCTTTATTAGTAATTAAAATACAAGACAACCAAACCAAAATAACCTTAAAAAGTCATTTGCACCAGGCATGGTGGTGTGCGCCTGTAATCTCAGCAACTCCCAGGCTCAGGAAGCTGAGACAGCAGGATCACAAGTTCGAGGCCAGTCTTGGTAATTTAGCAAGTCTTTGGTAACAGTGAGACCCTGTCTCAAAAACATAAAATATAATGGGCTTGGATATGGCTCAGTGGAAGAAAACCTCTGTGTCCCCCCCGCAAAAAAATGATTTGCAGTTGATTTAAATAGAAGATTGAAAGAAACTTTAGCAAATGTAAAAAGTATCCCGTACTCTAGCTGATGGGTCATTTATTTCAAGCAATATTCCATACAATACAACGCTGACTAATGAAATAAATCTATATACTAAGCCTGGGTTTAATGAAGAGTCATGACCTGGTTAAATGTTTATGGATTCCACTCCCAAACTTGGGCAGGCACTCAGATCTACATTCTGTCTTCCCTATGCCTAACTCAATCACTGAGCTAAATATAAACAAATTCTCACAGAAACAAAAAAAGAATCATGAAATTCATTTGAAAAAGTAAAAGACCCAGAATAGTCAAAGCAATCCTTAGCAAGAAGAGTGAAGTAGGAAACATCACAATACCAGACCTTAAACTATTCTGCAATCTTTGTAATGTTTTGAACAACCAGACCTTAAACTATACTACAAAGCTACAGTAACAAAAACGCTCTGGTATTGGCACCAAAATAGACATGTAGACCAATGGTACACAATAGAGCACACAGAGACAAACCTACATTTAGAGAAATGTAAATCAAAACTACTCTAAGGCAAGGATGTAGGGGAAAAGGTACACTGATTCATTGCTAGTGGGACTGCAAAATGGTGCAACCACTTTGCAAAGCTGTATGGAGACTCCTTAGAAAACTTGGAATGGAACCACCATTTTACCCAGTTATCCTACTCTTCGTTCTATACCCAAAGAACTTAAAATCAACATACTAACAGCAAAGCAGCCACATCAATGTTTATAGCTGCTCAATTCACAATAGCCAAACTGTGGAACCAATCTCGATGCCCTTTAATAGATAAATGGATAAAGAAACTGTGATATACATACACAATGGAATATTCCTCAGCCTTAAAGAAGAATGAAATTATGGCATTTACAGGTAAATGGATGGAGTTAGAGAACATGCTAAGTGAAGTAAGCCAATCCCCAAAAACCAAAGGCCAAATGTTTTCTCTGATAAATGGACACTGATCCATAGGGAGTGGTGGGTGGGGAGGGGGGAGGGGGGAGGGAAGAATGGAGGAACTTTGGATTAGGCAGAGGGAACAAAGAGGAGAGGGGGTGAGGAGGAGAGATGGTGGAATGAGACGGACATTATTACCCTATGTATGGGTATGATTGCACAAATAGTGTAACTCTACATCATGTTCAACCAGAGCAATGAAAAGTTGTGCTCCGCTTATGAAAAAAATAAATAAATAAATAAAAACAAATTATCAGACATTTTTCTGGTCTAGGGATATAGCTCAGAGCACTTGCCTAACAAGCATGAATTCCCTGGGGGAAAGGCAGGGGTTAATCCCTAGTACCACAAAGAAAGAAAGAAAGAAAGAAAGATAAAGGACCCGCAATTTCCTAAAGGCTCCACAGAATTTAGAAGATTCTAATTTAAAAGGAATAGATGGGGCTGGGGTTGTGGTTCAGTGGCAGAGCACTCATCTAGAATGTACGCGGCCCTAGGTTCAGCACTGGGTTTGATCCTCAGCACCACATAAAAATAAGGGTATTGTGTCAAACGATAACTAAAAAATAAATATTTAAGGGCTGGGGTTGTGGCTCAGTGGTAGAGCACTTGACTACCATGTGTGGGGTGTTAGGTTTGATTCTCAGCACCACATAAAAATAAAATAAAGGTATTGCGTGTCCAACTACAACTAAAACACAAAATAAAATAAATATTTTAAATAAATAAAGGAATAGATACATGAGCTGGGGATATAGCTTAATTGGTAGAGTGCTTGCCTCGTATGCACAAGGCTCAGCAACACAAAACAAATAAACAAAATAAAAGGAATAGGTAACCCCGTCATTAAAGAGGGCTTTAATTTWTATGTAGCCTAGACACTGTCCTGGCAACTACCAAGCCACACTGAAATGCCATTTGAAGCTGATCTACAGAACAGCAGATGCAAAGCAGGAGGCCCTGATGCTACTAGAAGATGCAAAGGCTAACTAGGCTAACTATTGTGCCACAACTATGACACCAAGCTTCTGGTTTTATAAGCRAAACAGATCATAAATGTTTATCAGTCTAGGTATATAAACAAACTGAATCTTGATTCTTAATAACATTCTGTAAGTCCAACAAAGAAATAAAAAATCCAACACCCTAAGACTGTCATGGGGGGTAAAAGCTGAGTGGGAAAAATCTTATATAAAAAGTACACATTTTGGGGGGTGGGGTATGGGGGATTGAATTTAGGGGTACTCGGTCACATCCCCAGCCCAATTTCGTATTTTATTTAGAGACAGAGTTGCACTGAGTTGCTTAGTGCCTTGCTTTTGCTAAGGCTGGCTTTGAACTCTCAATTCTCCTGCCTYAGTCTCCCAAGTCAAAAAGTAAACATATTTTTATAGTCATCTTACCTTGGTAATTTAATGCAGGGTTTACAGTTTTAACAGACCGAGTGTAGTTGAGTGCCCCTGAGTTCAATCCCTGGTACCCAAACAAATAAAAAATAACACTGCAGTTCAAAAAGAACCAAAGAGCTAGAAGTTAACTACTAAGTGTTTTTGTTGTTGGTTTAATCTTCACAGAAGATAGAAAGACTGGATCTGTGATATGCTGCTTAAGCAGTGCTTCAGAAAGAAGCACCATATATTCACTTCCAGGAAAGTACAAATTTACACTATCRCTATTTTCACTATTATAAGGGTATAAGGGTATTGTGTCAAATGATAACTAAAAAATAAATATTTAAGGGCTGGGAAAGGGCCCTGCGCAGTGGCGCATGCCTATAATCCCAGTTGACACAGCAGGATTGCAAGTTCAAAGCCAGCCTCGGGAAAAGCAAGGTGCTAAGCAACTCTGAG